AAAACCCAAACCCAGCAGACAAGAAGAAATAACAAAAATCAGGGCAGAAAATAATGAAATTGAAACAAAGAAAACAATACAAAGAATCAACAAATCCAAGAGATGCTTCTTTGAAAAGATAAATAAGATTGACAGACCACTAGCCCAGTTAACTAAATGAAAGAAAAAGCACCTCCAAATCAACAAAACCAGAGATGAAAGGGGAAACAACACAACAGACACCAGAAAGATATAGAACATTATAAGGGAATGCTTTAAAAATCTGTATGCTACTAAATTTGAAAACCTAAAAGAAATGGATATCTAAAGGCATGGGAACCACCAAAACTAAACCAAGAAGAGATTAACAGCTTAAACAGACCCATAACACAAAAAGAAATTGAAACAGTAATACAAAACCTTCCAACTAAAAAAAGCCCAGGACCAGATGGATTTACTCAGAATTCTATCAGACATTTAAAGACGATCTACATCCAATACTACTTAATTTATTCTAAAAATAGAAATGGAGGGAAAATTTCCAAATTCCTTCTATGAAGCCAGCATCACTCTCATACCAAAGCCTGGTAAGGATACAACCAAAAAAGAAAACTATAGACCCATATCCTTAATGAACATAGATGCAAAAATTCTCAACAAGATACTTGCAAACTGCATACAGACACACATCAAAAAGATCATCCACCATGATCAAGTTGGCTTTATCCCAGAGATGCAGGGATTGTTCAATATGTGTAAGTCAATAAATGTCATAAATCATATAAATGGGCTCAAAGACAAAAACCACATGGTCATCTCAATAGATGCAGAGAAGGACTTTGACATAATGCTGCGGTCACCACCAGCAGTGGTCACTCCTCCGTTCTCATGGGTGCTGCTCCTTCATTCTCACAGGAGCTGAGGCTGCTCCTTCACTCGCCCTGGGCTGAGGTAGCTCTTCTGCCTGCCCTGGGCTGAGGCCGCTCTTCTGCTCTCCTGGTGCTGAGGCAGCTCTTCTGCTTGCCCTGTGCTGCCTCCTGTCATCACCGCTTCTGCCTGGTCCCGGACCCCAGGGCTGGTGAGGAGACTGTGTCAGCGGAGCCGCATTCAGACACAGGAGACCAGGTTCAGTGACACAAGTCTGCTTTATCACAGGAATTATATAGGGATAGTGGTCCAATCACAGCACAGCAAGTAGGATAACTCATTAGCATAACAGATTTAGCATGCTATCACAGTACAGCAAGTAGGACTCATTATTAGCATCATCCTATTAGCATAACAGACGCACGTCCTATCACAGAATAGAGGATATGATGCCCCATTAGCATACTGGGTTTCAGATTACAGAGCCAGGATTCCTGGACCCTGACAGCTGCAAGATCACCCTAGACTCAAGCCTATCTCCCACATAATTCAACATGCATTTATGTTCAAAGTCCTACAGAGAATTGGACTGGAGGGAACATATCTCAACATAATTAAAGCCATGTA